GCTGTGCGCCCCAGCCCGCGCGGGAGCTTCCCAAGGTGGTTTCAGGCCGGGGAGGAAGCCCTGGCTGCTGAAGGGCGCACCTTCCGCGCCCAGCCCCTGACTTGTTCGTTGGCATTCCCAGGTGAGGGCTGGGGAAGGCCCGGGAGGTGCAGGGAGGTCAGTGTGGACCCACGGTCGTGCCTGGTGACCGGGGCAGCACCTGTTGGCGGTGGCTGGCGGCGGTGGACTCAGGCTCAGTCTGCTCTGGGAGCTGGGAGCAGCCGGGGCTCCCTCCCAGGGCTCCCTGCGGGTCCACACCTCACCACTGTCCTTCCCGGCCGGTCTCGCGTGTCTCCCTGCAGGCTTTGCCTCCCCGCGGTTAGGCCGGTCCTGTGCACCTGGTCAGAGCCCTGGAATCCCGCCCATGTCCCGGGGCTGCTGTCCTGACCGCAGCCATGGCCGGGCACGCTTCCACCCAGCCTGGTGGCCTTCAGGGAGGGGCGGGTGTGAGGACAGCTGGTAGGAGCTAGCTGTGCGCCTCTGCCCTCCGCCTCACAGTGGGCAGGTGGCCGCCTCTACCCCAGGAGGGACGAGCGAGGCAGCCGGGACACGGGCCCGCCCCGCCGCCTCACTGAGGCCTTCCGGGTGTGTCCCGGCCCTGCTGATGGCACAGCTGGGCCGGGGAGGGGACGCACCTCGGCCTGTGGGCCCAGGTGTGGCCGTGGGCCCTGGTGGCTGCTGTCCCCACCTCCTGGGTGCGGGGTCCTGGCCGCAGCTACCGTCAGGAGCCAGGTCTGCTTCCTTCCTTCTCTGCGCCCTGCGCAAGCCCTTCCCTCCCTGCGCGGAGACACAGCACCGGCCAGCAGGGCTGCAGTGAGGTTGGGACCCCGGCTCAGGAGCGCGCTTTCGGCCGGGGCGGGGCCGCGAGGTCGTGCCCTGTCTCGCCCGCTGCCTCCCCTGCATCGGGGCCCTGTTCCGTGACACCGACTTTTCTCGTCGCTTGAAACGACAAGAACACTGGGAACACTGAGCCAGCTTTGGCAGCCAGGAAGTGGGAACAAGCTGGGAACACCCGAAAAGCAGTGCAGTGCGGGAGTGCCGGTGAAGGCAGCGTTCCTGGGAGCCCGCCTGGCCTGGCATCCGCGGGGCCGGGCACGTGCCGCCCGGGCGCAGGGCGCAGGGCTCTGTGTGCAGACACCGCTACCCGCACCGCCCGGCCCAGGCCGGCCGCGCGGCCTGGTCTCCCTTAGGGACACGGGCGCTTCCGCCTCTGGTTTCTGAACGCGGGTGCTCCCTTCGGAATGGCTTCCTGGCCACGGGGGCGGGGCACAGAGAGTCACCACCCTCACAGCTGGCTTGAGGAGTGACGGGTCAGCTGACGGAGTGGGAGCAGGGGACCTGGCCAGGGTGTCCCTCAGTCCTCGCGACGAACGGGGCGGCGGCCGCCTTCCTGCGCGGCATCAGGGCGCGGCTGCCAGTCCCTTCTCTTCCCCGAGTGCCCATCTGCTGGGCCCGCCTCCTCATGGCTTCGGCTCAGGCTGCCCGAGCAGCTGCCCGGCCCACCTGCCTCTGGTCAGCTCTGGCGGCCCAAAGTCCTGGCCCTTGGAACGGGCCCTTTTGGGGGCCTGGTGCTTCCTGAGGCCCCGGCCCGTGCCAGCCCGGGACGTGGGTGCCGCCCGCCCCCGTGTGCTGCTCCCCTGCCCGCAGCCCGCAGGCCGGGCTGGGCCTCGTGCGGGGTTGAGCCTTCGTGCAGTGGCGAGTGGTGGGCTCCCGGGGAGGGGGAACAGGCTTCCATCACCTCTGAGCGCGGGGCGCAGTGGGAGGCTGCTGCCGGGGCTGACCGCTGCCTGGCCGGTCTCTCGAAGGTGATCCGGGTGACCGGCTTCATGAAGGGGCTCTACACGGACGCGGAGATGAAGTCCGACAACGTGAAGGTAGGCGGGGGCCTCGCCCTCGCCAGAGGGCGGCACGAGCTGCTCTGTGCGCCTGTCAGGCGATGCTGGGCGCCGGGGTGCGGCCGGGGTGCGGGGTCACGCCCTCCCTCATTTCAAGCTAATTTTCTCCATTGAGAAGTGGGACGAGAGTTCCAGAGGTCAGCGCGGGGGCAGCAGGCTCGCCTCGTCGGCGACGTCTCTGCCTCGTGGGGGACGACGCGCCGCGGCCTCGGCGTCGTGAGGCTGGCGGAGCACCTCACTGGCAACCTTTCAGGAGAAAGAGGCCAAGATCAGCTTCCTTCAGAAGGCCATCGACGTGGTGGCGCTGGTCTCGGGGGAGCCCCCGCCGGCCAAGCCGGCCCGCATCGTGGCGGGGCACGAGCCCGAGAGGACCAACGAGCTGCTGCAGCTGCTGGGGAAGTGCTGCCTCGGCAAGGTGGG